TAATTGATCGTAATATCCCATATCGGCAGTGATTGTATCTCTGCAAAGGTGTTATCATCTTTGATTAAGTCTCAGAGTAAAAGCTGTGAATCATGGATAATGGTTCTCATTATAGTCCATGACGTAGAGCATTCCCAAATGTGACTAAATGTTTCGTCGTCACTTTCACATCTGACACATAGACAGGTTTGGTTGAAAACATTTGGGTGTCTAATTTTTAGAACTTCCATTATGGGAAGTAATTCAATCAACCTTTGGAGTTTCTTTTTCTTTATAGCTGAAGCTTCGTACGAAGTACGAGCGTTGGCGATGTTGTCATTTAAGTAAAAGGCAGTGGCCAGCCAATGTATGTTAAGGTTGTGGTATTTGTTAATGACGGCAAGGTGCTGGAAATTGTTGAATGTTATAGATTGTGTTATATCTTGTAAAAACAGTCGTATGGGAATTGAGACGCAACTTCTTTTGTAGCTGACATAATGTTATTTTAAGTATGTGAGGTTGAATAGTAGAGCAGAGGAGTCGTAACACTGTTTTGTCAATTGATCTACTTTCTCATTGTAAAAATCACTGGAGTGTGCTTTGATTTTATGTAAGACCATAGTGAGACATTATTTGTCGATAACTTCAAAGAGACTAAACCAAAGTGGATAATTGGTAATTTTTAATAGAGGTCGGATGGATGGAGAAAAGCAACGGATATTTTTAAATTTGTTGTATTGTTGTATGACGGCCTGTGAGTCTGTATAGATATGGATACAGCAATATTTAGGCGCTACGAGGATGGCTGTGAAGATTGCTCCCAACTCCGCCGATGATGAAGATGGGAATGTAGTGGCGAACGCTGTGGAGTAGGAAACCATTGGGAAATTCAGGTTTGTTTGTAGCCAAGCCATTCCCATTCTAACTATAGGAGTACCCAAACCCATGAGGGATCCATCTGTATAAAACGTTAATTCTTGAGCTTGCTCAAATTATTGTGAAAGTGTTAATAAATTATGAAAATGCGAACTAGAGACATAATTATAAATTAAAGAAGGAAGGAACAGACGTTAATAGTTCATTAGAGGCCTATAAGACGATGAATTATTAGCATAGGTGTATATGTGACTTGCCATATCCTTTATGAATGGTAGTGATCAATAACAAATGTGGTTCTTTATCCCATAGTTCATTAGAACATTCACACAAATCGCGAGAGGAACTGCAAAAACGCAGTTGTACCGTTTGAGTTCCAGTGAATTCTTTTTGAACAATGTAAGGTTGTGACGCAGACAGCCCTGGCAACGTTGTAGTGTAATCTCATTATTGATTATTTGATAAGTGCAGTGTATGATATCTGCAAAGCTTCCTGATGTTTTTAAAATTTGTCCAAATATTAGGTTATCGATTGTTTATTGCCATAAGGTAACGTAAGAAAATTTATTGGTGTTTATATTGTTAGGTAATAGAGAGAAGTTATGAGTATATCCGTGCGCTATTGACGTATCAGGAGGTAACTGTTGATTTTCATCTACTCTCAGTGCTTCCTTTATAACTAGGTACCAGATCGGGATTCTACCTTTGTTCAGTACTGATAGAAAGAATCGTAGGTCGTTCATACTATATAAATGTTTGCAGTCCTTTGTTAAGAGTTGCTCTACAAATATAATAGACATTTTCCTTAAAACAGGTGTAAGTTTCCTGTATTTGTCTGGTATAATGGACTGTATCGAAGTAGAACCACCTAGTATACGCCCTCGGACGTATTCGGGTGGAACTAAATTCAAACCGAGTTTTTTCATGTCACACAATAGACCTGGGATCCAATCTTTGAAGTGTTTTGGGTTGTTGAAGGGCTAATTTCTTAAAGGGGATGAGGGTAGCCATTCCTGCAGTTGTATTTATTAGAGTCGTATGTGGGTGGTTTGACCTAATAGGCCACTATCATTTACGGAATATAGAATTGCATCGCATAGAGCTTGTGTGTGTCTATGATGTAAATGAATGATATCATAAAATAGTTTGGAGTAGAATAGACATGATGGGGTATCTCTTGGAAGATGAAGTTTCTTCTTGAAAAAGGATCTAAAAGGTCTAATTAAGCGGTCTGAAGCACTTTCAGAAAGGTGCACAAGTTGTGTACGATATTCAACATGTGGGATTATTACTACATTGTACGTATAAATGAGCTGTTTATCTGTTAACTTTTTATTAGCTAGTATCGCTATAGCAGATTTCACATCTTGTACGACCTGATTGACAGTAAACATCTTATTGCATTGCAGTGAAATCCAAACGCCAAGGTATCGCACTGAGTTGTTTGGTTTGATTGAAGTTATTACATGATCATAACCATGT